TCATGTTACCTGAGCTGAACATTCTCATGATAACGTGATTTCTACACTGCCCATCTTGTTAAACATAACCGATACAGTTTAACAATGTAGCTAGAGAATACAGATATCAGCTCCCTAACAACCCTGCCAGAGGACCAGCTTATATCTCACCACAACCACTCTAAACTCCTTCGTCTTCTCCAGCTTGTCACAGCTCTCCCTCTCTCTCTCTCTTTCTGACAAGTCCTGGTCTCTAACAATTAGGGTGAAGTTCTCTGGAAGTTCTCAGAGAGATACAGAGAGAGAGGGAGAGAGAGAGAGAGAGAGAGAGAGAGAGAGAGAGAGAGAGAGAGAGAGAGAGAGAGAGAGAGAGAGAGAGAGAGAGAGTGTGTTTAAAATCTCAAGATATTGACAAGATAGCTCGGCTTACATTATACCACCAGACAACGAGGATGCAAATTACAGACGACTTCGTTCCCGCTTCTGAGGGTCACAGGGTAAAAACTGTGTAATTACTGACAAAGAGAGGTTATGCCAGGTGAGGGAGAGTTGTGTCAGGCTCTGTGAGTATCAGGGTCTCACTAGTCGGCCGTGTCTGTTATTATGCTAATCCTTTGAGGAGGACCTGTAAGGGAACCTCTGTGGAGACCTGTGCCTTGCATGTATAATTTGTTGATAACTCATGGTCCGCAAAATATTTAGTTTGTAGATTGGTACCGCCTTACCGCCAATTTGAGATACCAAATTCGCTTCGAATTAATAAATCAAATTTTTGGTAACGAATCTAATAAAATTAGAGGGATTGCTATTTGGGGAAATGACTGAGAGTCTCGAGTATATTGACGGGGAGTAAGAGATCACCACCACAGTTCTGACTGAGGACTTGTCAGTTGGTCTCAACACCCTACCATATTTGGGGTGCTCCTCTTTCTATTCTGAGGACTGAAAACACAAATGACTCAATCCAGATCTTTGTCATTATACCATTATACCACTCGGAATGTCGGGCATAGTATAGTTTAACAATATTTTACATCTAATCAGGCAGTTAACGATGTGTCGTGAGCCCAGGGGACATGTCAAGACACGCCTAGCAGCCCCTATTTAGTGACCTGTATCTGTATTTATAGTGATCACGTGATTTACCTCCGAGTTAATCCCCATTAAGTATGAAGTAATGGTATTTTAATAGGGGGGTTGTGGTCAGGGTGTCGCAGTGGTGGGTACACGGCTCGTGTTTCAGAATATTATTACTTTGGGTGTCGTTAGAAACGCGTGAAATTAGATCGCTAAGTAATGACGTCTACCAATTACTTATCGGTTAAGTGGGTGGTGGTATTTTGGAAGGTTGAGGTCATTGGTAACATCAACGCTGGAGACGTTTTTAAAAATACGGTGAGTTCACAACTGATTTGGTCATGTTGTAAATGAGATTTTAGCTCAATTTCAAAGTAGACAGGAGTCAGACAGTAAATAGTGGACAGACAGCATGTTATAGACATACCAGGATATTGGTGGCTTGGGCAGCTACAAGCAAACCCAAGCAAAGCAACATGTCGCACTGAATCTGCTTTCTGATTTTAACCTTTCGCATTTTACGGCCCAAAATAACATGCAGATAATCAAATTGTTTCCGGTCGGGAATTTGCGTCATGATATGGGATTTCATACTTCATAGTTTTCACATGAAAGATTTTAAGGTTGATTTAACATGCGTGTGATAAGCTGATAAAAACACCCAATGGAGTGGGTACTCAGTCAAACAGGATGGAAACTAGGCGCCAAGATAATTTGTTCTTATCAGTTGTGCTCTTATCCTTCGAAAGTCGAAACATGGGCCAGGAATCAAACCTTGAATTCTGCTTAAAGCGGCTTTAATTCGGGAAAATAAACATGAAATCGTGAAATTCATATTATTCTTATCAAGTGTGAAGTAAGTATGAGTTTTGTTATCATAAACCAATCGGTTTAGAGTTTCAACTTTCAAAGAGCCAAACTCCCCTTGTGACCAGTACTGAAAAAATGTGAGACGTATAAAAACCGTATTCATGCTTGTTTGCCGAGTTGAATTCTGCACGACACTGTTTAATTTTACCTTTTTTGTGGTTTTCCGTTTAACCATGTCCTGCAACAGTTCGTTAGTTAAAACCACCACTTTTTAGTTTAACGGCTGGCCAGATTAGTTCTATAAATAGCTCAGTCCGAGGTGAGCACGTGAGATACTCGCTCAGTTCGTGCTTGTTGGGAGGAAATGGTAGTTCAAGCCGGTAACCACACCCTCATAGACCGAGTTAAACGGTTCAAGTGAAAGTAGGACAATAAGCATGCATCCGGCCCTTGGGGGAGTCCGTGAAATAGGACAGAGGCTTTTAGGAGCTGTACTATAACACAATTCTCAGTAAGGGACCGTTCATCAACATAGGTATTATCATAAAGCCGTTTAAGATCAACTTTATCATTACGGCTTATCACCTTATCATTATACAGTTTAAATACACCCTAATCTTTGAACGTTAAACTAAACTTTTGCTGCTGAAATTTTACACTCACACTTCAATTCTATGCAGATATACTATCTCAGTGCAGCTGGGATCTCATTGTCTCCACAGCCCTATCATGAATAATGAAGTAGGACCAGGTTGATAAACTATTGCACCCTCCTAACCCCTCATATGTAACCTCTTATTGGACACTCTTTGTATATATCTCATCTTATAGGAGCTTCCTTAATCCTACAGACTATGCAGTATTGTCTGTACAGCAGGCTCTAGACAGTAGACAACCTATCAATTGCTACTTTACAGTTTACAAGTGCAAACGTAGCAAGAATAACAATGATAAGCTAGAGGCGCCATTGTCACGGAGTTGCGTTAAATGAAACCTCTCTTCAGCCTGAATAATAGTAAAACATTTGTGCTATTCTACAGACTGAAGACCTGTACAAATGGATCTCTGTGTAGAACAATGTCAAATGTCAAGCCTGGTGGTGTGCGTCCTGCACAATTGTTCTAGAATGCTCTACATACTGTCTCTATAGAGACTGGATCGTACAGGTTCTGTGTATAAGGAGGAAGTGGAGATGATGAGGTCATGTGAAAGCTCTTTTAAAGAGTGGCAGCCAGTGTATGGAAACTGTTTCAGAAGATAATAACACGTCTTCTTAATTGATTGACCCAGCCCTGGAGTTACAAATTAATTGCGAACTTTCCGTCCTATCCTACTGCAGAGGTCATGCAACGAGAGTTTTGCCAAAATGTAATTAATCAGAACTCGGTAATGTGAATCCTCTAAAAGTGTGTAAGAGAGATAAGAAAATATAATAATGCTCATCTCCTCTAAATTTCTCTTTATGTCTGATAACACTGTGCTTCAAAGAGCAATCACACCGATCATGTGTGTGCTAATTAATTAAGTGGTTTGTTTGGGAGGGAACACAAACATGTGAAGTCTGTTATCTAGAACCACAAATTTACACCTTAACAAGGGTGTGCATAGTTTGTTACCTGGCTTCTCTGGTCACGTGATAGAATATACAGTGATCATATGATATGAATTGGTGGTTTTTATTGGGTAAGAATCATGTCTTGTGTACGGCTCTACAGGTGGCAATCACCGTTTGACTTTGTAGGGAGTCCGAGCCAATAAAAGGGGTTTACTAAGAGACACTCAGTTATAAAATTCAAGTTATGCTCAGTATGTTTGGCGATGAGGAGGAAATATTCAGCATTCCATGAACCCGAACAGCTACTACCATACATCTCGCACTACCGATCATACCAGACGATCAGTAACATTCCGATTCCAGAGCCCTCCCTCGAACACAGGCCTCTACAAGATACCAGGCCTCTATATAAGATACTGTAGCCTCTAGCGTCCTAGTCTAGTGTCTTGTGATAAAGGATACACACATAGGGGGGACGTGAGATACCATTGGAATCTCACTTAATGCCCGGCTAGTAATTTCTTAACGTCAAAATTAGATTGTCAGCCGAACGGTGGACAGGTTGATTGATGTCTGACATGATATTTGGTGGGAGATCCTGGCCATGATGTCATTATATGTTATATACCAGGGCTCTTGAGATCCTGTGGTTTTCATTGTTGGCCATTATTCCTGTTATTGGTAATACTAATAGGTTACAATATTGTCACTTAGGTGTGTTACGAAAATAGATGCTAAAATAGTACTTTATATCTCAGACAGGGTTCAGTAAAGACCGTTAAAATGATATTTTAAAGATATCAGACGAGCTCTTAAAATGGGTATCTGGTACACTTTAGGATGACACTTCGTCCATTCACACTCATAGGCAGTTCGTGACATCAGCAATCACTACATTGCTACATTGCTACTTTAATGTGGTCTAGAAAACTCTGTGGAGTCAATTTTGGCCCCACCTACATCCTGTGGGATACGGCATATTCCAAAATGATCTGTAATTTGATCTGAAAATCCATATTGCTAGGTATTTTTAAAAGTTGTTCATCGTGAGTTCGTATACATATTTGCTACTCATTCTTAAACTTCAAGTTGACGTACCATCACATGTTTACCGTATTTCACATATTTCATTGTTAATAACCGCCCAAATTTGTCACCGGCGAAAGTATTACGGTACGGTATATTCATGATTCAATAAAAACGTATAAGTAATCCCCGGAATTTCCGTTATTTAGTAACTAGGACAGTTTACCCCTACATAACAGCGGAAATATTCAAGTTAGAAGCAGAAGTTGGCGGGGTAGGTCACAACATCAATGTTAAACCCTGTGACAACACTGCAAAACCGCTACTTTAAACGTGCTCCACGCATCTCACCTCAACACTTACCTCACACCCCTCTAACCTGAGTAACCTCACTAACCCTGCTGGCTAACATATCCCCAGTAAAACTTTAACACCTTTCCCAGCCGTATAGCTGGGGATTGGGTGAGAAAGAAGAGGGTTTAAGAAGAAAAGTAGGGTTTAAACCCCGGCCGACAGGATGGCGTCGACAGGATCAGGAGCTCTTTGCTCTTACCTTGGAGTTTGTGCAGGGTATAACGTTATCCCGAGCCTCTGATCTAATCTTTTTAACTCCTTCTCCGTTAGAGCACGCGAGGGTTTTGGCGTTTAACTGTCGGTTTATCTGAAAAATACGAGCCTTGTAAGTATTTACCGAGTGAAGTAAGACAAGAGGTAATAAATCATGAGCTCAGAGAAGATGTACGTGGATGAAATCGTAAAAGTATTTGAGTTTCTCCTTTGATCAAGCTTATTATAAACTTCAATCAAGATATTTTTATAGGTAAAAGTTAATCAAAAACATTGAAGGAGGTAGATGGTTCTGTTCGGAAAGATAAACAGCAATGAAGGGTTCAACTTTTCCCACAACTCGACCACTTTTTGGGACGATGTCATGAACTACGGGTGTGGTTCTCTCCAATTGCTCCTCGTCCTAATTGGGGCCCCTCTCAACATCTACCTCTACTACTTTCACTGGCAGAAGAGGGTATCCTGGACGGCCAGGTTCTACCGGTTTTTGTCGGTCCCGAATCTAGGACTGGTCTTGTTAGAAGCACTACCTCAGGGTGTTTACTTGCTCATGCCAGGGTTCTTGATGGAGAGCGAAACAGGGTTGAAGGTGTTTAACGAGATCTTGGAGCTGGTAGGTGAGTGTTTGTGGTCGTATCACAAGATCCTCATATTCATGCTCTGTCTTATGCAGTACCTTTACATTCACCATCCTTACTGGACTATTCTTCACGGCGTTAAGTTCAAGAAGCTGATGATGATGGCACTGGTTTTTGTGATATTTTTCTTTACTGTCGCATTTATTCTGTCACTCTCGGTGAGCAACCAAACGGTTTTTGGATTCAGCAACAGCTTTGAAACCTTCTACGCAAAAGATATAACGGCGGTGATCTTGATGGTAATTTGTGTACAAGTTCCGGACTATCTGTTCGTAGTAGCCTCCCTGGTTCTTTACATTATCACTCGGAGGAATCTCCGCTGGAACACTGATATTGAACTCACAGACAAGATCCGATCTGATTTCCGGGTTATCGGGCTGATCGTGGCTAATGTTCTGGTGTGGATGGTGATAAAGATCACACTTTCAGCCCTCATGTTCAGCTTCAGCGACTTGTACGTACTTCCTTACGAGTACTTCTACTTCGTTTACATTCAGAACAACATTCTGCCCGCCTTTCTGGCTACCTTGAGTTCCCTCTACGTCTTGTTTTCCTACTTAGACGTCAGAACGGCTCTTTGGAACATGCTGAAAACTGGAAAATTCGATGCTTTTCCATATGATCAGCTATAGCTGGAAACTTCTTGTCTACAGACACAAACTTCTTGTCTCAAGATAGTGATAATATTCGCTTACAACGAATTAAAGTTGTGAGGGAGATGTTTTAGCCGGTATAAATAAGTTATAATAACAGACTGACGAAGAGCATGTTGGGTAACGACAACACGACAAACTAAAGGCAAGAGTAAGAAACTTTTACATTATTGGCTACTGAAATCTTTTAAGGATGTCCAAAAAGCTGTAAACGATTGTTTAGTTGAGAAGGCAAAGGTTTGTTGGTCAAATGTGCATGACAATTTGTATGACGTAAGACTGTTGATTTGATAATGATAAAACTGATTTCTAAACCACGAATGTGATTTGTTTGATAACTAAAAATAAATTTATTTTTCCAACACAAACATTAGAATCTCAATTTCTCATTTTTATCAATATAAAAAACAAATACCAACAATTCTCTTACCTCATCAAAAGAGAAAGTACAAATAGCGGTATGGGTGTTGTTCTTCTCGTTACTGAAAGTCCCGACCAGGACCTTCTCATCTCCCTGATACATTCCCTCCACCGTCACCAGTTCCACAGAAGTCATGGCAGGATACTCCACCCCATCGTAGGTACACGAGATAGGTATCTCGATATAGGAAGTATAGGTGCTGTCTGAGAGGGGAGAGTTGGTGTTGCCAGTGTCTGAGAGGCAGGTACGTGCTATCCTGGTGTCTGTGCCCATGTGGGTTGTTAGTTGGCGCTCGTGGAAGAAGAAGTAAGCGAAGCGTTCGTCTTGGAAAGCAGAGACGTAGGAGATGTCGACGTAGGGTTTTACGTGCCAGGATCGCTGGTAGAAGAGGGTTCGTTGCATGCTGGTGTAGTAGGTGAAGGACGCTCCGGATTCGTAGCTGTGCAGTTTTCGGTTTGCGATGACCGCTTTCTTGTTCTCTTGGATTGTGAACTCGTCGTCTGCGGAGACGTAGCCACCAATAAAAAGAGACTGTTTGCCGGGTTCTACTTCTCCTATGAAACCAACTGATTTCAACCTGGGGTAGAGTGTTTAAAAAAGTCATGTTTACTGTTAACATGTAAATAAATGAATCCTCAAACTATACAATTTATAACAGATAGGTATGAAATTAAAGACAAGTGCTTAATTATCATCACAAAACCGAACCCTTCCACTATCTTACCGGTGGTCAGTAGCAACGACATAGTTCTCAGGGTAGAAAGACTCAGAGTCAGGTATAGCAAAAGAGATATCCTCCAACAGGCGAGCTGTACAAGTACCCTGGAAAACACTGCCGCACGAGATGAGATATCCTGCTATGTCGTCTATCAGAATCAGTTGGTTGTAATTGTCTGTTGTCCTGAGGTTGGGGTGGGAGGTTAGGGAACTGGGAACCAAAGGATGGGAAATGGGAATATAGCTACTGGATATTTAGCTGATATCTTTAAGATTCCTGAATTAGAATACGATCGTCGCGTATCTTGAAATAAATCTTAATGTTGTACCCCATTTGGAATACCATAGAGCTAACTACATATTATCTCTTGAATATTAGACAATGCCTACTAGTACTAGTGCATTTAAAATGAGTAAATCATTTCCTGGACCAGGGTTGAATAAATTATAATAATTGCGGTTATCTGTCGTTGTCCCTTCGTGGAACATCCCCCGAACTAAGTATATAATTGAGATGGTTAGCAGTAGATTCAGGTCATGTTGCCCGCCTTAATTTACTTCTCCTTAATTTTCTGTCTAATCAAGTCTAAATTTCACTTCTAGTTTCTACAATCCCGGCCCCTTTTATCTCCAACATTTACTTCAAGTCAGAAAATTCTTGAAATTCAATGTTTCGATCCTCCGATTGTTAAGAATGTCATATCAGATTTCGGGGCACAATTACCGTAATTAAGAAGAATTCAGCCACATGACATTCGGGCCATCTGATTGGTTGTGGTCCCACGAATAGTGGTGTAATACCCATCTCTAAATTTCTTAACCGTCAAAGCAGCCAGTCAGAAAGTGAGTGCGAGAGTGGCACTAAGATATTATTATAGTCATCTCGGTTACTCTCCATTAAAATGGTCAGAAGAATTGAAAATTCAGGCTCTTTTTCATGAAATCTGTGGGCAGGGATATATTCTATTATTATATTGACTCGATTTTACGTATGTGAATTTTTACGTTAATATCTCCGGTTAATAAGCTTAATTTACTGAAACAAACTCGCACGCTCACTTACAGCAGGAAATAACGTGTAATTATTATTTTACACCTGTGACTTTTGTGGACATGATGCATTATCTCATGATGATGATGAGGGTGCTGGTTTTATTAATTATTATAGCTGTATGTGGGGAGGTGGTAAGTGTTTGTTTGTGTTTGTAGTAGCGGACACACAATGTCTGCATTGACTGCAATGTACAATAAACATTGCGTTATGAGTGATACTATTAGTGAATAACTCATATAAATAAATCAAGCAGTGGAGAATAGTGTGTACGTATGTTGCCATAACCATAACCACATAGCATACTCTGCGGCTCGCATGATTGCAAGATTATTCCTCAAAATTATGAAGAAATGAGTAAATGTGTCGCCTGCAGAAAAAAGATAATGTTGGGTAAATGTATTTCAAGGCTGTTCTATGTGTAGAACTGCCTGATAATTGTCTGCCTTCAAACGCATTTCACCACGCCGGGTAAAAAAATGCATAATACCAAATACCAATACCGTGCTATAAAATAATAAGTAAGTAGGTATTTCTCTAACAATGCAGGTGTAGTGTGCAGACACTTTACACTTCCAACCAATAGCTACCTTAGGAATGTAATAGCTCTGATAGGTCCAATCGGAAAGTGAATATTACAATGAATACAATATGTGCCTCACTTACATTGCCGATGAAATAATTTACAGACAGTATTACTATTATGAACTACTGTGCCATTCAAATGGAGATGATATGAGTCATGAAGATCGTATACAATTTCATTCTAACATTCTAGATTGCAGTAACCGCCTAAAATAAGAAATTCTAAAAACTGTTTAAACATGGCTAATCACAATAAAAGGCAAAAAAGCTAGTTTTATAGATCAAACTCCCAAACTCAAGATGGCCTCACCTCATTTCCTCTCCTTCGATCAGACAGAACTCCATACCAAGTTGAGGGGGAGCACAGTTGGGGTTGTCCTGCACTGGTCCCGTTATCGTGTAATTCAGAACGTTAAGTTCGGGGTCTAGTTGGTAAAGTGCGTTCACCGCTCCTGGACAGGCAAAATAGTTATATTAGCGGTTATCTTAAAGAAAATCTTGAGGTGCAAATTTTTGTCCCATGAGAAACACATACCATATACTGGCTGGCGCTTGTTGTGAAGGGTTGGGGGAACTGTGAACAGTTAGGGAACCCTAATTCAGTAATGACGAAGCCAGGAAAGAGAGAAATCCTGTCAACCATCACAATTCATTATGCCCCAATTTGACGTAAATCAATTCTAAAACTGACAGATATCAATCCCTTATCTCGACTTCACGCGAGCAGAAAACAGATAAATGGCAGACAACAGTTCATGATTTCGATAAAATTAGGGAAATTAGGACTTTAAAGACACTACCAACCTAGGTAGATGTGACCTCTGCTGTCGAGGACCATTCCTCGTAAAATATCTTCTGATTCGAATGAGAGGGCCGCCAGGCAGGTAGCCACCAGAGTGCCCAATATGGGCAATATTATTCTGTACTTCATGATATTATTGTTATCATAGCTTTCTGTCCTGATTGTTAGTCGTTAGAATTTAAGAAACGAAAGGGAGTAAGAACACGGTCTAAAACTGGTTCTAAAAAATAATGTATTATCAGTAATATAGATCATACTGTAAAAGCATCAATGGAATCTGGAGCAGTCCAGTTTCAAATAATAGACAGCAAATAATTCTCTAAACATATTGATTTCGAATTGTCATATCAACGCTAGGGAACTATAGTAAAATATGCACAATTCAATACATAAGACAACGAATGGCAAAACTGATACAAAGATCGAGGGTGAAATAGTGGACGTGGTCACAGTACTCACTAACACTACAATAAACGGTAAAAAGTACAAATTCACAACTCAAATGCACGCCACATGCTGATACAAACACAGCTTGGCATTAACTATACCGATTATGTATATCCTCCACCAAAGTGATGACAATAAAGGGAGCTGGGATAATTCTGGTATGATGATATTATGCGAAGAAATGCTAATACTCTGTACATAATTCCCCTCTAATTCTCAACTTTCCTCATTACTGGCGTCTGATCAATACTCGATCAAGTTAGCGCTACGTAATAAGATAATAACAATACACGGTACTCTGATTGGTTCCATATTTTATACAGTAAACAAACCCGCATTAAAACCACACTGAAATTCCGTGCATGCCATAAGTCTATAAGTGAATCACAAGGATAACAAAAACAATACCTCAGCACGAGCCAGCACGATAAAGTGAAATAATGCAGGGAAAGGGAGCGTCCTTCCGATCCCATTAAAATATCAGAATATTTCACAACACAAACGTTACAACCTCATACAAAAGGTAAAATATAAAAATACAAGGTACCGGGGAGTACCCCTACTTGAAGTATAAGGGGGAGGAGTATATAGTGTCCAATGAGGAGATCACGAAGTCGAGAGGCGAACAAAGCCCTAGTTTCCCCTGGCTGCAGTACACCACACCGTGAACCGCCTCTTACACAGCTCACTGCCTGATTAATCAAAGGCTTCGTGTTTTTCATACCATAATTATCACGTCATTAAAACCAGCATTTGACGGCTCCTTTATTTCCTCCACTCACCAGCTTCTTCCCAACCAGGGGAGAGAGAGAAATCAGTGAAAATTATCCGTGAAATGTTGTGCTATGTGCTGGTATTTCTGATTTCATGATTAGGTGCCCTCGCATGAAGTCACGTGTGACATATGACTACAGGAGAGAAATTTGCAGTTTCCTGATGCTATGAAAAGAACAGACGTGATCAAATGAAATAAGTGACAGACAGAGAATTTAGAAAATAAGTAACACTGACAGACGGGGGATTTAGAAAAGCAGACAGAAGGTAGAGCGAGACAGTTGACGAAATAGCAGCAGTATTGCAGAGTCAGGACAGTATTCCAAAACAATAACCTGTTATCCACTACTGCTAACACATTAACAATATACAACATAAACGATAACGAATTACAACATAGCCGAACGTCCCGCATCTAAATTCACACGCAAGTGACTGACTGCTGCGCGAACTGTTGAAATGACAATTGAGTTCCCCAGTTTGAGTGTCAAACAACAAGAGATGCCGTGAACTGTGGCGACCAACTTCTCCCCCAATCAGTGGTCCTTTAATATTATATACGGGCCAATAATCAGCGACATAGTTTCGGATTACAACTAACTTGTGTGCTTGACAATCGGTAACGACAGTTAATTGGCTGTTTGAATAGCTTAAATACGCTATCACAACCCCAATTAGCAGAGTAAACACAGTGTGCCGACACACTCTAACAAGGATATAGATCGTGACTTTATACCGAACAGCTCATTACAAAAGTTCAATAACAATAAGTGGATGTCAATAATTTGAGGTTGGGACCCCTGAAATAGGGCAGTGTGTCGTGAAGCTGATTAAGAAAACACGAGGTTAATAAACCCTGCCCAGCATGGCACCTTTACACTGTTCTGACCCTGTTGTCAAAGGGGACGGGGACCTAAGGGATCGGATCCGGGCCACATAGGGCCAGGGACTGAAATGGAACAGGTGGCTCTGAAATGAGGGTGCAGGACCTGGTGGGGCTGATACAGGTTGATGTGGATAGGAACCAGGCACTAGGGGACTGAGTTACTTAGGTTGTAGTGGTAGATACTAACTGAGCTTATATATTTAATGTATCTGTCTTTAGATCATGAGGTCATATACCTGCCAACATATCATTGAGGTAGCAGCAAGCACAACACAAAGTGCCAGTTATCAAGAACCAATCTATAGTCAGAATTATTGGCTACCCCGCAACCTGATGATGGTTAAAAACAAACACTTTCACCCTGTAACTGTACTAAACAGGTCTCAATTGACAGAAACTAAACTGATGACTGGTAAAACATCAAATGAATAACACTTCATCAGGGTTAAAAAACATGCCAATATTTGAGTGAAGCAACTTCATACACCCAGGTACAAGTAACAGAATAGCTCACTAACTAGCCCTGAAGATATAAGGTGCGACTAAAAGTGCGACTAACAGACTGGTACTGCGCCTGCTAACTCGACCCACCTAGCTGCACAGCTTAACGAAAACTATTTAAGTGTTTAGCAAAAAGTGCCACGATTCTCTAGGTGTGATGGGAGATAGTGTGACAGTGCGTGAACTCTACCAATCATGGAACGGTACGGCAATCACATGCACCAATAAGAAGCTCTCATCATATGTGATTCAGCCAATGAGGCAACCCTAATGATACCACGTGATCCCTTTAAGTTTTTGAGCATGCTGTATCAGATGAGGGTTATGTAAGGTAAGGTTAGGATGCAATTAATTGGCCAATAAGCCTGTAAAGAGAAAGCTTCCAAGTTTAAAAGATCCAGACCTTGAGGGTGATGCTTGTGACACGTGCTAGACCTGTATTACACGATCTGTACCACTACAGTTCAGAGATTATATCGGTCACGTGCGCAACACCAATATATCTTAACAAGGCAGAGAGAGAAAAGAAGTGTATCACAGTTTAATAAGCCGGGCTTATTAAGATTCAACTGTAGTGGTATACCAATAAGTCTGATAGGTAGTTAATTGAAAAACTCTCCAGCGTGGAGAGATGAAGAGGACAGAATGTTAACTAGACGGAATGTACTGGGACAGAATGTTAACTAGACGGAATGTACTGGGACAGAATGTTAACTAGACGGAATGTACTGGAACAGAATGTTAACTAGACGGAATGTACTGGGACAGAATGTTAACTAGACGGAATGTACTGGGACAGAATGTTAACTAGACGGAATGTATTGGGACAGGTTTCTGACAGGAATCTACATTCTCTACAAGCTACTGATCTCTGTAAAGGTAGAACGTGACCACCAAGTCTGGGTCGTATAGATTGTGTTGAGGGTATAATGGAGGGGGTTGTCAAAGTAACTGATAGATTGCAACATCACAACTGGAGAATGTGAATAAATGTCTCACCTGGATATATATATGGCCCATTAGTAAGTTTAATAAAACAAATATTTTAATAAAACAAATATTTATTTTTACGGCACAATCAAACAATATCAATAATAAATAAATCAGGGGAGGTTTGAGGAGGTTTCAAGTGCCGAAGGCCACTGCTTATCTTTAGGATTTGAGAGTGACCTGTGCTTGAAACCCCCTCAACCATCCACTACGTCAATATAAAACTTATTATACAAATATAGAAAAATATAATTATCTAAGCTAAAATTGCTTATTGGTCTAGTTTGGTGACATAGGAGAGCCCAGTTGAGTTTTAGTTTAGGTTTATGTTTTAAATCATAGTTTGAAAGGTTAGCCATGTTTCATGGCAGAGAGAGATATCATGTGTGCAGAGCCGTACCAGCCATTTAATACAATGGTTCTGGGTTCAACTGTGTGTGGTGTAGCAATGAAGGCTGTTTTTGGAAACTTTAACACACAACATACATTAAAAGTTATGCGATATTTTACTGGGGCAGGTTAATATGATATTAATTTATGCCCAAGTGTACATCAGTGAAAACAACGATTACAACAAGAAGTTTTCAAACATGGCATGAATTCTAATCATATTTTTGATTAAACCAGCTACAAAAACAGCATAGAAATCACAAAAACAACACAAAAAGCACACAAACAGATAGATTCTTACAACTAGTGAAAAGCAATACAACATCTCGGAATGTGTTAAATCACTAGAAACTAGCTGTGAGAACTGTATACCTTGCAGAGTGTGATAAGAGAAGTAATCCCTCTCACCTCAAATACCAGACAGACTATTTGAGAAACAGAGAATATGTACGATAATAATAACAATTTAGCTTAACTATGTATCTGTTTAATTGGGTATTTTGTTATGTTCAGGAAACAGGCTACAAAACCAATCAAATAGCTTTCAAGTTAGATTTGTCAGTCATGAAGACAGGTTAGACAAATAAGACATCAATAAAAAGGACAACGAGAAAGAATTAACGAGGTGTAGTAGCATGATGAAAATCTGAGAAAATCTCAAGACTGGACACGAAAAAGGAATGCAACTCCAAACTAATGGCAGAACAACGTTAGTTAAACTGAGCGCAAAACAGGGATGAGAACTAACTGAGGCGTCGTGACAGTCAGAGTCAATTATAATTATCAAAGGAGGCACGCCATGCTGCTACAAAGGGAAGTCGGAATTCAAGGTGAAGCTCTAGGATTTTCTAAATCACAAATAAAGGCAGTAAATTATGCTGGGGAAATAAACAGGAGCTGTCAAACTGATCAAACAAAACGATTTGTTAATACACCGTTTGTGGGAGATAAGGGAATCTTTAAAACACTTCATATCCCTTCATGTACGTTCCTTTAACACATGACCTTGTAGAGCTTCAGATCTGATTGCTATCAATGAGATGGTAGATCGTGGTCCACCCCACATGACCCACACCAGGGCCTTAAAACCATATCACTTCACCAAATCTAAACAGAACTCCCAGGGTGAAATTGTGGCTTGTGTCTCGCAAAAAAGGCCTGGGTG